GGGAGCCACAAGAGTCACAGTGCTGCAGAAAGCGACGTGCAGCTCATCAAGATGCACAAGCAGAAGTAATACATGTGCTGTATGCGACACATAAAGCCATCCCTCCCCACTGCACTGGTAAGGCTCCATCTCACACACTGCATTCAGCTCTGGGCACCACACTCGAGAAAGGCAGAGACAACTTCCACAAGGGAAATTTGTTTGGGTTGCTCTGTGAAAACAGGACTGGGAGGCAGCCTAGAGGGAAGAAAGGGATATGTCTTTCCCCTAGGGAAAACAAAGTAGGAGCAGACACCTCTGTGAATGTTCCAGATAGTCCCATTTTTCCCTCTCCCCATAAAAGTATAGAAGGTTGCCCAAAAGCCTGTCAGAAGGCAATTTGCAGATGGGTTTTTAAGAAGCATATCACGACCTCTGGCATCCAACTGCAAGGTTTACACTCTGAAATCGCAGTGCCTGGCTACATCTTTCTTGGCAGAAAACATTCAGTACTTAACAGAGCATCTGGTTTTGGCAGAGGACATTCAAAACTCAACAACAGCAGAGCGTCTGGTCTGCTTTTCTTTGGAAGGTCAACACATGCATCCTGCTCTACAGCCTCAAAACAAAAGCTTTATTTTTGATACCAAGAGCTCCACCCTGCCAGAAGAATCAATCATCTACATGAGGCTGACAAGCCAGAGGAAGCACTGGAGCAGACACACCTTGGATTTGTCCGACACTCCGACTGCCACAGACAGCATCTCCTCAGGAGAAGCCTTGCCATGCTGCAGCCAGGCAAGACTGTAACACATTAGTGACAAAGGACGTATTTGATTTGGCAGAGAAACCCTTCCTTCCCACTTTAGGTTTGCTTAAATTGTCTCCAGAGGTACATGTGCTACACCCAAATCACAATCTCCTACTGAGGAAGTGTTAGACGTACAATTAAACACAGTGCTTTCTGCTGTGCAGCTTCCTCAGCAGAGGAGCTCTTCAGCATCCCTTCAAGAGCAGCTAAAGGACAGCTCCCTCTACACCCCACCACCTGCGGCACTGAGGCAGCTGGTGACAGGAGCGGTGTACACCTGCCTCTCCCCCAGCCAGGAGATATGTGCATACTGCAAAGCTAAAACCGTCTGGATTCCTGAGTCGCCGCTTCCCATATGCATTCCTGGCAGCAACAGGGGGAGTAAACCAGCCAGGGCTGGAGAAAGCTGTGCATCATCTTGCATGAAGCTCTTTTGCTTCTCCTGTATCAGCTGCAGGGACACTAGCTCCTCTCCAAGGACACATTCCTTCCCTTGAAGATTTGTTGCCTCTTCCATGTACCCCCCAGTCTGCTTGCTCTTCTCCAAATCTATCGTGTGAAGGCTGGAAAGCTTCTGCCAGGCGCAGCTTAAAGGCTGAGGCAGTGAAAGGCTGCAGAGCTGTTGGCAGCAGGAACTGAAGGAGCCTTCCTGCAGAGGGTTTGGTTCTGACCATGCATCACAGTTATGGCTGGTCCAACCTAAGCTCAAAGCCTTCCAGCTATGCTGGCTCCAAGTACAAATTCAAGTTAGACAACAGAAGCCACCTTCTCAGGTGATCTGATGCTGCTGCCACATAGTGACTCCTCCCACTCAGGTTAAAAACCCAGGCTCACTTTGGTGATGAGGCACAGAAAGCAGCTCAGCAACGGCTACATTACTCTTCCATTCCTTTGCACTGCCATCCATACACATCCCACTTTGCTTCTTTCTTGCTCTGTCCATTTGGGATGACAGTTTATACTGTTGCAAAAGTTTTCTGGGCAAGAACAGTTAGTTGTATGCAGAAGGTCAATCAGCTTTTGATCAACAGAGTGGTGGTGGATCTAGTCACCTTCCAGGAAAGGAAAGGACAGAGCAGACAGGCTGAGATGGGCTTGTCGGCCTGGAGAAGGCTCCACAGAGACCTTAGAGCAGTTTCCAGCGCCTAAAGGGGCCAACAAGAAAGCTGGAGAGGGTCTTTTGACAAGGACCTGTAGGGACAGGACATGAGGGAATGGCTTTAAACTGACAAAGGGGAGATTTAGATGAGGTATTAGGAAGTTGTTCTTCTCTGTAAGATGCTGATTCTGTGACAAGCCTCAATACCTAAAGCAAGGCTGGAATATGCAACCCAGTATTAGAGATTTGGGCCTCAATGAGCCCTTTTCTCAAGGCTAAAATAGCAAAAAAAAGCTCCCCAAGCAAACAACACACACAGGAGGGCAGCACTGCACAGACCGACCAGGGCTTCACTGCCCTCCATGGCAGTCTGACATGTCAGCTCTGACTGCGCTTTTCCATACATTTATTGCCATCTCCAGCAAAGCACTTTAACCTGCAGGTGCTCACACTGCCCTGGGGAGCATATAAGACAAACCCTCAGCACAGGACAGAATGATGCTCTTTGAGCAACAAGCATGAACCTGCATGCTCTTATCAAAGTCCCTGCTGACTCAGTAAAACCACAATGTCTCGAACAAAGCTACTTCTGCCAGTAAGACTGCACTCCTGCTCTCAGGACACATGCAGCTTTCTTGGCCTCTGCCTATCCATTCAGCTGTGTCAGGCTGGGAGTAGTACCTCCACCATCCATCAGAGACCTGCTTAAACATTTCAGCCCTGTGCCATCCGAAACCAAGGCCAGTAAACACAACACCAGTGCATAACTGGTGACAGCAAGCAGCCAGTGCTACCTACACTGTACTTCACGTGCAAGACAGGACCCTTCTCCTCTCCCTGGTCTGCATCCTGTTCATAGATTTAACTGCAACAGCGTTCCATCAGAAGCACCTTCATAAAGACCATGACCTAGGAGCACGTCTTTGGTGCCTGCTACACAAATAAGAAGGTTGCTGCACTTGTCTGGACCCTCCCAAGTTCAACTGCTAGCACTATCTGTAGAGGGTGGGGACCCTGTTCTCACCACACAGGTACTGAGAAGGAAGGCAGCAACATCACAAACCCCTCTACACACTGCTGGAAATAGGCTCAACATGCAAGAGTCTCCCTGTTTAAGCAAAAGCATTGTCTTCACAGGAGCAAAATCAGTTACTTTGCAAGGCCTGGCTCAAACCTGAGTGTGTTTTACTTAACTTTTTCTAGCACCCACACAAAACTGCCACCTTTCACTGCCTTTCTAAACACAGACTTTACTGACAAATCCCCATACGCTCAGCTTTCCACAAGGGATCTCATGCAACCTGTCACATTGGTCAAACTTGCTGTACCAAGTCCATTTATCTCCACCTCATCAGCAATGAGCCTGCCAAAGGAGATTGTGAGGAAGCCCTGACCACTCCTGCCCCCACAGACTGCTCCAGGAGGAGCTTCACTCCCCAGATGTCTCAGACTTATCTAGACTTAAAGGACACTCTGTGATTCACCCTGAAAGGATGACTGCAACATGGCCCAATGTGATGGATCCTACAACAAGAACAAAGGAGAAGATGTGGTAAAACCTTTTAGCTTCACTGTTGGTCTGGGACAAGAAAAAATACAAAAAACACCCTCCGCATAAACACAGTGTTCCTCTGTGTTAAAGATGCCATATACTTTGGCCCCAAATCAGCCTCTAGGGATTTAAACTGCCATGACAGAGTCCATCAGCACTTACAGAGCCTTCCTTCAAATACTGCATAAATGGCATGCCCAAGCAAAGAGACAGGGATAACGTCTGACATGTTTTTGTTGGTCTGACCACAAACGTAGCAGCCACAGCACAGAATCAACATGGTCCCAAGCTAAATATGGGATCCCACATGCACTCACAGCCCCCTCCTCTGCAGCCCCTTTGTGGCAAGGGTGGAAACAGTGCAACCTGGCAAAGCACCATGTGGTGACATGCCATAACTGCCTGTCTTGACCACATTGCTGACAGCCAAGGAAGGGGAGGGAGGACAAGCAAGCTGCCACAGCACCACTCAAAATCACACCCACATGGTGCCCAGCGATGCCCCTCACTCCCAGGGTCAGGTCATGGAGGGGGGCACACACACTGAATGTGCTCACACCACACTTGGTAACGTCAGGTTGTGCTGGTGTGTCCCCACTCCAGGAGCATGGCTAGAGGAGCACAGCTGGCACGCAGTCACACTGCCACTGCCCCACACTCTGCTGTCCCCACTGCTGGGCACAGCCTGTCCTCCCCCGGGGGCAAACAGCCTGGGAGTGCCCACCTGGAGCACAGACCTGCTCACATTGCACTGTGCTGGACGTTGTACCCTGCAGCATTGCACGTGGCATCCTCGTCCCAGCTGGGAAACAGGCTGGGGGGTGCCCAGTTTGCACGCAGACCCCCCTGGGCTCGCTGCAGAGCACATGACAGTCCCCTGTCCCCGCCAGCAAGGAGAGGGTCCCACATCTCACACGGTCACACCTTCAACACACTGGTCCTTAATGCACCGAGCCCCCCCAACCATGAAAGAGCTCGATGGGGGGGGGGGGGGGGGGGGGGAAAAGAAGCATTGCACTGGGGCCCCCCGACACGGCCCACCCAGGAAAAGGGCATGGGGAGGGATGGGTGGGGGTCCTGCATGGAACCGAGCACCCACCACGCTGCCCCAGACCTCACCGCACCCCACAGTGAGGCAGCGGCTGGGTGGGGGGGACACGTTTCATACAACCACCCTTTTAATACACACACACATGCACCCGGGACCCGATCCCACTGCCGCTGGCTCCCCCCACGAACCAGGCCCCGAGGCTCCCCCTGCACGGAGCCAGGACCTCCGGCAGCCCCTGCCTCTCCGCAAGCCACAAGTGCTCACGACAGCTCCCCTCTCCCCAACTCCCGTGTCCCACAGCACCCCCTGCTACCCCGAACCCCACGACACCCCCTCCCATAGCACCCAGCACCACACACACACACTCCGGCACCGGGTACCACTGCAGCCCCCGCCCAAATGCCGCCATTCCCAAGGGGACCCGCCTGGACACCCTCTCACCAGCGCCAGGCCCCGAGGAGCCCCCAGCCCCACAGCCAGGCCCCCGCCACCCGCCACCCACCCGTACCTTGTACTTGCTGAAGCCGGCCAGCTGCTCTGCGGTCACGTACTCCATGGCGGCCCCCACGCCTGCTCCTGGTGCCAGTACCGGTATCCCGTTCCGCGCCCGCCCTGCCCCTGACCCCCGCCGGCCACCGTAGCCCGCCTCTCGCCGCCGCATCGGCCCACCTGGCGTGGCCGTGACGCCACGGCGCCCCGCCCGCCCGCCGCGCGAGGGCGCCGCCTGCAGGGCGGGAGGAGCGTGGCGCTCGGGAGTGGAGCTCGGGCTGCGGGCAGGGACCAGCGCCAGAAAGCGGCTTCCTGGGAGAAGAAATGAAGGCTCGGGGAGGGCCCGTAGGGGTTAGGGCAGAGGAGGAGGAGCCAGGCCCGTAGCCGGCTCTCCCGGGGGCGGTGAGGCCAGCCTGGCTCTCCCGGGGGTCTCTTCACCCCCATATTCACGCCCGCGGGCCTGGAGGAGGCACGGGGGCTCCAAAGAAACCCTCCTCGGGAAGGGGAAGGGGCAGGGGTGGCCACTGGTGGCTGAGCATCCGCTTAGGGGGACAGTGGCATGGTGGCCCGGGCAGTGCTGGGTTTACTGTTGGACTCGATGATCTTAAAGCTCTTTGCCAACCCCAATGACTCCGAGTCTGTAATTTGTTTCTTTTTAAAGAAAAAGTGGTCCAAAGGGCCAGGTTGGACAGGGCTTGGAGCAACCTGATCTAGTGGAAGGTATCTCTGCCCATGGCAGGGGGTTGGGACTGGATGAGCTTTAAGGTCCCTTTTGACCCAAGCCAGTCCGTGATTCTATGGTTCTATGACCTTCCCAATGCAGCTGGGACTTGGGACCATCGCAGGCTCTGTAGATGCTGAGGCCAGGACCAGCAGAACCCCAGAAGGAGCGTAGATGCCAGGACTGGGGTGAGGGGAACTTCTAGGTTCCACAGGGAGCCTGGCCATGTCCCACCAGAGACAGGTGGTACAAGAAATACATGTTTGGGATGCCACAGGGTGGGGTGGGAGGGGGTACACACAGGGGGAAAGAACAGGAAAAACAGAGCAAGGAAGGGGAGAAAAGAAAGCAAAAGCAAAGAGTGGTGAGGCACTGGCACAGGTTGTCCAGTGAAGCTGTGGCTGCCCCATCCCTGGCAGTGTTCAAGGCCAGGTTGGACGGGGCTTGGAGCAACCTGGTCTAGTGGAAGGTGTCCCTGCCCATGGCAGGGAGTTGGAACTGGATGAGGTTTAAGGTCCCTTCCAACCCAAACCATTCTGTGATTCTATGATTCAAAGTTGGTACACTAAAATCACCTCTCCATTTACAGCCCCATCCTGGCCTCCCAGCCTGTCACCCCAGTCCTGTCAGTTGCGTTTTCTGGGGCCTGTGACAGACCCCCACCGGGCAGTTCCTGCTCAGCTTTCCATTCATATCTCAACATCATCAGTCTTCTGCCTCCCCTATCAACTCCTTTTGAGCAAGTCAGTTATCCTGAGAATCTTAGTTACAAACCATGTATCCTTGTGTCATTGCATCCTTGCGTTCCTTCCCACAGCAGTGTCCACAGGGAAGGGCATGCCAGGTGATCCCTGCAAAGAAGATTCAGGCCAGGGTGGACTGGAAGAGATGCTGACACCCACAGACCTCCATGTAGAGTACTGCCTCCCTGTACTGGAGAAGGAGATGGAGGTTACAGGCACACAGACACCTGAAAGATGAAGATTGCCAAAAGCTTGCAAGCTACACACAGTATGCATGGGAGAACAGAAGCCCTGAAAGAGTGCTTTGGCTCACGTGATGAGGCAACACGGACACTGCAACCCCTGGATACAGCCTGGGCCAAGGCCACTCTCTCACAGCCACTCCAGCTTGGAGTTTGCTGGTGAACTCACGTGCACACCCAGTTTGGGCTGTGACCTGTGGTCCTGCTCCAGCCGCCAATGCTCGGGCCTTCACTCACCTCATTCATACCAGTGGTTGGTTTTCAGGCCACGCACCATTCCCACGCCAGAAGCTGTAGGATAAAGATCCTCACTCACTCTTGTCATTGCACTGAGACCCCTCTTGCTCCATCAGCTGACACCAGAGGCATCTACACCCATGTAACTCCAGGAGCCGGAGTCAAATCCACTCACACACACACAGGTCTCACCACTCGCTTTGTCCTTGCAGCACACACTCACACTGGTGAGGCTTGTGCCAAGCCATTGTCTCCATGTCTGTTTTGTCAGGGCTGTGTCATGGTATATTTTGGGTTTGGTTGCCCTTTTTAACTTTAGTTTCCAACTGACCAGCGCCTGCTCTGATAACCTCACTGAAATAACTTCTCGGTCTCCCATTCATCCATTAGTGTGACTGACCAGGCTTAGTTCCCACCACAGGCTCCTTCACAGAATCCTAAAATCACAAACTGGTTTGGGTTGGAAGGGACCTACAAACCCCTTTAGATTCTGCTGGTAAGAGCACGTAAGATAAGAGCCCTTGTCTCTGATGCTCCTGGAGCAGATGCCAGCTTCTTAATTGCCAGAGCTAGTTCAAAGGTGTTCTCTAGGGCAGGAGATCGTAGAATCACAGACTCATAGCATGGTTTGGGTAGGAAATGACCTTCAAGCTCATCCAGTTCCAACCCCCTGCCACAGGACGTCTTCTTCCACCAGACCAGGTTCCTCCAAGCCCCGTCCAACCTGGCCTTGAACACTGCCAGGGATGGGGCAGCCACAGCTTCTCTGGGCACCCTGTGCCAGGGCCTCAGCACCCTCACAGGGAACAACTTCTGCGTAAGATCTCATCTCAATCTCCCCTCTTACCAGTTTAAGGCCATTCAACACAACTGTTGGTCAGATTTGTTTAACTGAATGTTCTTGTTTACGGCTTCCTCCCCTTCTTACTATCCCTTGAGACATTAAAGAAGGTCCTTTACCCTGAAGAGCAGACATTCTCCATCCACACAGACCTTCGCCCAGTTGCCACCTGCCTGTCTTCACAGCACAAACACTGAGGTCACACACAACTGCGCCTAACTTGAAAATAAAGGACGCAGAGATCAGTCCAGTCTAACTCAACTAGTTTATTAGCAAAGAGTACAAGGGATTATAGTGAATAACCACTTTCGCCAGTGTTCCAGGAGGGCTTGTCCTTGGATTTCCAGGAACTGCACAACAAAAACTGCCAGCCAACTCAGTGGTGCAGTCCCAGCTGGTTACATGTTCTCCAGATCATGGTTCCACTGCCACCAGCCTGTCCTGACAGCACGAACACTAATGTCACACACTGCTGATGGCTTCTGAGGAAGCTGCAAAGAGACATAACCCTCCGCATTGGTTATACAAAGATCTTCACTCAACAGCTAAGCAAATAGAAGAGCGGTTGCTTAGCGGTGGCTAAGAGGTGGAGGAAAGCTCAATAGGCCCAGCCAGGAATGACTCGTCTTGACAAATGAAGGATGCTTAATAAACCACTAACCAAATTAAAACTTAACTAAAGTTTTCTAAACCAACTAAAAGTTTTCTAAAACTAACTTAAAGTTTTCTAAAACTAACCAAATTAAAACTTAATTAAACCACTACCTAAATACACGTGTGGTGTTAACTACCTTAACGATGTCAGAGACAGAACAGCTACTAACCTGAGTACTAGCTCAGTTTATCAACAGGGGGTCGATAAGGGAATGATAATACTGAAAAGTAAGCCAGCAAAGCTTGCAGCCAATGTTGAGCTGCTTTCAGATCCCACAGCCTTTTCTTTAAGCGTGACAAGTACTTGCTGCAGGAAAAACTAACTTCTGTCAGTGTCACTTTTATTCTGATAGCAGCTGATAAAATCGGTACTTTCAAATGCTGCCTTTGCTCTTCGCCTGACACTCGGTCTTAATCTTGTTCATGTGACTCCTCACTGCAGGAATGTGTTTCATTTTCGATATAAGACAAAGCAGAGGTTAATGTCTGTGGCAAAAAAGGAAGAGGATTCTGAATGATTCGAGATGGTAGAATTCAGGATCTTGTCTGGTAGGGTCAGTAGAATAGCAAGTAGAATCGCAACCCTGGACTTTAGCAGGGCAAACTTTGGCCTCTTCAAGCGATTGCTAGGGGAAATCCAGTGGGCTAGGCTGCTTGAAGGGAAAGGGGCCCAAGATAGTTGGTTGACGTTCAAGGACTGCTTTTTCCGAGCTCAAGATCGGAGCATCCCGACACGTAGGAAGTCGAGGAAGAGGGTCAGGAGACCTGCGTGGTTAAATAGGGAATTGCTCGGTATGCTCAAGTGGAAGAGGAGAGTTTACAGGTCATGGAAAGAAGGGCTGGCCACTTGGGAAGAATATAAGGCTGCTGCTAGAGGATGTAGGAAAGCTGCTAGGATGGCTAAGGCCTCCTTGGAATTAAAGCTGGCGAGAGGGGTCAAGGACAGCAGAAAGAGCTTTTTCAAATACATGGCAGGTAAAACTAACACCAGAGGCAATGTAGGCCCGCTGATGAACGGGACGGGTGCCCTGGTGACAGAAGATACAGAGATGGCAGAGTTACTGAATGACTTCTTTGTCTCTGTCTACTCTGCTGGAGGCAGTCCTGAAGAGCCCTGTACCGCTGAGACCCCGGATGAAGATAGGTCAACGGAGCGGTCTGCCTTAGTCGATGAGGAATGGGTTAAAGATCAGTTGAGCAATCTGGATATCCATAAATCCATGGGTCCAGATGGGATGCACCCGCGGGTGCTGAGGGAACTGGCTGAGGTCATAGCTAGACCGCTCTCCATCATCTTTACCAAGTCTTGGGAAACGGGAGAGGTGCCTGAGGACTGGAGGAAAGCAAATGTCACTCCTGTCTTCAAAAAGGGCAAGAAGGAGGACCCGGGTAACTATAGACCGGTTAGCCTCACCTCCGTTCCTGGGAAAGTGATGGAACACCTTATCCTTGGTGCCATCTTAAGGCATATCAAGGATAAGAGGGTTATGAGGGGCAGTCAACATGGCTTCACCAAGGGGAAGTCGTGCTTGACCAATCTCGTAGCCTTTTATGAGGAAATAACACGGTGGATGGATGATGGTAGAGCGGTGGATGTGGTCTACCTCGACTTCAGCAAAGCGTTTGACACGGTCTCCCACAGCATCCTTGCGGCTAAATTGAGGAAGTGTGGTCTGGATGATCGGGTAGTGAGGTGGACTGTGAACTGGCTGAAGGAGAGAAGCCAGAGAGTTGTAGTCTATGGGGCGGAGTCTAGTTGGAGGCCTGTATCTAGTGGAGTGCCTCAAGGGTCGGTACTGGGACCAGTATTATTTAATATATTCATCAACGATTTAGATGAGGGAATTGAGTGTACTATCAGCAAGTTTGCTGATGACACTAAGCTGGGAGGGGTGGCCGACACGCCGGAAGGCTGTGCTGCCATCCAGAGGGACCTGGACAGGCTGGAGAGCTGGGCGGGGAATAACTTGATGAAATATAACAAGGGAAAGTGTAGAGTCCTGCATCTGGGCAGGAACAACCCCAGGTTCCAGTATAGGCTGGGGAACGACCTGTTAGAGAGCAGTGTAGGGGAGAGGGACCTGGGGGTCCTGGTGGACGACAGGGTGACCATGAGCCGACACTGTGCCCTTGTGGCCAAGAAGGCCAATGGCATCCTGGGTTGTATTAGAAGGGGGGTGGTTAGTAGGTCGAGAGAGGTCCTCCTTCCCCTCTACTCTGCCCTGGTGAGACCTCATCTGGAATATTGTGTCCAGTTCTGGGCCCCTCAGTTTAAAAAGGACAGGGACCTGCTGGAGAGAGTCCAGCGCAGGGCAACTAAGATGATTAAGGGAGTGGAGCATCTCCCTTATGAGGAAAGACTGAGGGAGCTGGGTCTCTATAGTTTGGAGAAGAGGAGATTGAGGGGTGACCTTATTAGTGTATATAAATATATAAAGGGGGAGTGTCACGAGGATGGAGCCAGGCTCTTCTCAGTGGCAAACAATGAAAGGACAAGGGGTAATGGGTACAAATTGGAGCACAAGAGGTTCCACTTAAACCTGAGAAGAAACTTCTTCTCAGTGAGGGTGACGGAACACTGGAACAGGCTGCCCAGGGAGGTTGTGGAATCTCCTTCTTTGGAGACATTCAAGACCCGCCTGGACACGTTCCTGTGTAACCTTATCTAGGTGTTCCTGCTCCGGCAGGGGGATTGGACTAGATGATCTTTTGAGGTCCCTTCCAATCTCTAACCTACTGTGATACTGTGATACTGTGAATATCATGAAGCAAGGGGATTTCTGAGGCAGGAGTAGCACGCCTTATTTCACCCAACTTTGTCAGCAATTAGGTATCCTTCATGTAGCTTGCGGCTGCATATGTATTTTATATATCGTCTAATATAACAATATTTTGTGGAATTACTTATACTATGCTCTTCTAAAATGCAAAGCGGTTGCAGTTCTTCCTTCATATTATAGAATCATAGAAAGGTTTGGGTAGGAAAGGACCATAAGATCATCTAGTTTCAACCCCCCTGCCATGGGCAGGGACGCATCACAGTAGGCCATGTCCTCCAAGGCTCTGTCCAACCTGGCCTTGAACACTGCCAGGGGTGGAGCATTTACCATTTCTTTGGCCAATATGTTCCAATGCCTCACTACCTTCACAGTAAAGAATTTCTTCCTTATATCCAGTCTGAACTTCCCCTGTGTAAGTTTGAATCCAATGCCCCTTGTCCTATCACTACAGTCTCTGATGTCAAGCTGGCCTAAAGCTTCTTCAGTTCATCAAGCGCTTCCTGCTTTGTAATTCTCTGCCATGAGGCAGGGATTTCTCCTTTGCCATGAAATTTCCCATTGTGCAAGTTTTCAAGCTCTGTCCTGAAATGACACACAAACCATTTCCAGTACGCTTGTATTGATGTATCAGGAAGAATTAGCCAATTGGAATAAGGAAGTCCTGCATCACGGTATTTCTTGTAGGGGATCCATGTGTTTTCATCAATCCTGAATAAATTGTCACTCACAATACTACTAGAACAAATATCAATGACCAGATTGTCTGTTTTATACCAGATGTAACCTGCCAAAACTTGAGGACGATGGAAGACAAGCTGATGGTCTCCATCGTGATGTGGAATAGTGTTTGTGCAAACAGCCCCACAAAAGGGACACTGATTCCAGCATCCTGAAAATTGCTCGGCCAAGATTGCGTGAGGCTGCTTTTCAAATATGCTCATATCAGCATTACGAAACTCTTCCTTGAGACTGTCCTTCAGGGAAGCCAACGCTTCTGTCATGGCATTTTTCAGGAAGTCTATGTCGTTTATCTCCTGATGCTCCATGCTCTTCAGGTCGCTCCTGGGCAAGATTAGCACTTCTGTAAGTGCGTTGCAAAATTCATCCAGCCAAAGAGAGATTTTGTCGTTTCTGTCTCCTCTGTCTTTGACAATCTTGGTTGATTGAAAAACAGCTGACAGAATGCTTTCATAGAGGTGAGTAAGGCGGTAATCTAAAAACTTCTCCAGCCTCCTGTTCTTATCTAAACAGTACATCTTAACACGTCTCTCAATGTAACTCTTCATAAAGTCTTCTGAGAAATTAAGATACGTCTGGAAATACTCAAAGTTTTCTTCTTCTGCTAAGTATTTCAGTATGCAAACTTCCAGAGAAGATCTATTGCCACTGAAGTCTGGCAGCTTACCCCTGATGTCCTGAGCTATGGTAAGAGCTGTCCTCTCATAGATTGCACGGCGAAGAGCTGGGCCAATCTTGTCACACAGGAAAACAGCAAACGCTGTGATAGAAGTGGCCCCTTGGCAAGAGATCTGGAAATATTTAAAGAAATCTTCTCTCTTGTTCACCATGTAGGTGTATGGATCATTTGCTTTTCTGAATGTTTCCTGCATGCTTTTAAATCTTTTTGCTGCCATTCCGCACAGATACAGAGATAAATCTATTGCATAATCTGTATTAAAACTGTATTTTGCATTGATAGGGACAGAGCTTATACCCTTCTGCACTTCATTTAGTATTTCATGAATGAAACTTTGACTATAATCCCTTTTCTCCTGTTCCTTCTTATCAATGTTCTTTGTCACACACCTTATGATGTTATCTGTAATGTGTTGTATGTTGCTCATATCAGCATGATCCAAATTCTGATCAAAGAAGCGCCAACGTTTTTTCTTAGCAATGTGTTTTTCAAAGTTAACAGAAAATGCTTTGGTTTTGGGAAATTTGCTTATCCGTTCTAGTAAGTTAGGTCCCTTAAAGTGATCTAGAAGGACATCTTCTATTTCCTTATCGATATCAACCTGTTTCAGAGGGGATGCAGCAGAGGAGAATACAGCAACCCATGTATTCCAAAGACGAACAAAGTTGTCTCTGAGTTCACTTTCAGTTAGTCTCTGGCCTTTTAGAGATAAAGCCATCTCCCTACTCTTTTTCAAGAGCTCACTTTCATATTCTGACTTCTTTTCATCCAGTTTACGCTGGTTCTTCTTTAGTTCAATCAGATTCTCACACTTCTTTCTAGTTTCACTAAGGAGAGATTTCTTCAGTTCATCCAGCTTCCGTTCTGTGACGACTCTCCACTGGGCCAGTATCTCATGGTCTTTCTCCTCAGTGAAATACTTTTCCACGTCTTTCATGATGTCATCAGTTGTCTTTTGCACTACATTTTCAAGGCTTTCTCTGGGGACCTCCTGTATGTCCCCATTCCGAACTTGATTGTCCAGTTTCATTTGCAAGTCTAAGACGTGACTCCTCATCCACCAGCTCCACTGGCCAAATGCGGTCTCCAGCTTCTTGTACGCAGCAATCTCCACTGAGTTCTTGAAGCTGAAAATGAAGTTTTCATTCAGTAAAGCATTCCAGAGATCACTAATACGAACTTTCAAGCTCGAGAGACTCAAAATACTGCCTGGTGGTCTCTTCTTGGCAGCTTGGAGAATTTTGCTCTTTAATTCCTGGACGTTCTGGCTGTAGGTGGGGTTGGGTGGTGCCATTGGGGGGTTTCCTTCCCACAGGTGAGAAAAGTAATGAACATGGGTGTTCACATCGAAGTGAATGACATCGCTGAAGCAGTAGGCATCACAGAATTCTTGCTGAGCAGCTATCACAGTCATTTCATCCAGCTTTTTCTGGAGGCGTCTTCGTCCTTCCATGTTTTGTTCCTTGGCAGTTATTTCTCCCACATTTTGGTGTACAAACAGGCAGCTTGAGGAAAGTTTTATTTGCTTCATCCTCAGAAAAGCCTGGACGGCAATCTGGAGGACATCTTGCATTTCTGACGGATTTTCTCCAAAGATGTTGATCAGAGTCATGTTGCCAATGCCAATGACAAAGGTGGCCAGCTCATTGTCATGGTTAAGGGACTGTTTATTGGCCATCTCTATGGCACGAAGTCCCTCTGTGTCAACAATTAGCATGTAACTGAAGCCCAGATCTCGTTGCAGCTTCTCGTCTACTTTAATTAACTGCATAAACGCTCCCCGGGTGCATCTCCCTGCACTGACATTAAACTGAAGACCAAACATGGCATTCAGCAGGGTTGACTTCCCTGTGCTCTGGATGCCAAGCACTGAGAGAACAAATACTCGTTTGTCTCCTAGCTTATTAATTAATCTGTCAAAGATTGCATTGACCCATTGTAATGGTATGTAAGAAGCATCACCATCCATCAGCTCGACAGGATACCCTGAAACCATCAGATCAGCTGCAATTTCAGGTAGTTTGACAAAATATTCATCCTTTGAGTTCATCGATTCCACAGCTTCATAAATCTGCCCTACCTCTCTCAAAATATGCTCAAGGCCAACGGATGAATAGTTGATTTCATTGGAGAGGTCATCTATATTCTTCATCAACTGAGATTTCAGATAGCTTTTGTCATTGCTTTTCGTTATTGCCAGGATTTGAGACCATAACAGGTGATATTCTTTCTTCAGTTCGTCAAGGCGGTCGGAAGACAGATCGTCCATGAAAACCTTCATCCAGTGCAGAAAGTATTTCTTGGTATCTGCTGGCTGTGACTGGAGAAAGCCAAGGACTGATTTCATCAGCTGATTGAGGGGGAATGCTTGTTCTAGTTGTTTTCTTCTTATTGCTGACTTCTCCAATTCAGTTTGGCTCCGATGATGCTCTATGCTCTGGTTCCTCTTTTCCTGCAAGCGAGTGAGTTCTTTGTCCTTTTTGCACCACATGTGCCACAGTTTTCCTTGAAGAGGCAGCAGTTTGGATTTGATCTCAAACAACTTCTCTTCCTTCAGAAGCTTCACCAGTGCCTTTGCCTTTTCTTTGGCTGTTACACATGCATCTGTATCTTCATCGACTAAGAATCCATGCTTGCGAGCTTTGTCCAGGCAGGAATCGAGGCTGAAAAGTGTGTTAGACACTTCCACAAGTTCTCCAATGATTTTTTTCAGCTCGCCCATTAATTCTGCTTCGTTTCTGTTCTTGATACCTATTCTTATGTTTTGGCTAGATCGGCCAGCAGCAATGTTCTCTTTTTCAGTGAAAAGACAAACCAAAGGCCTCTGTGACTGCCACAGGTCACGTAAAATCTTCATCCCTTTCTTGTCACTCTGATCAGACTCGGTTACAAGAACCACATTCACAGCTGATATCTCCTGTAGAAACTGCAGCTGTTCTTCGTGGTCCCTTGCATCTCCGTGCAGGTTACAGAAAGCAACACAGCAGTCAAAGCTGTCATCATCACTGCCCCGGGGACAGTACCAGGAGATCTCCACAACACCTTTCATCAGCAAACAGTCTTTGGTGCTGCCTTTGCAATGCCGGTGGAAAAAAGTGTCATGTTTTTGTTTACTCAGCAGAGCATTCAGGATCTGAGACTTGGAAGAGGAAGGAGAACTGCCAATCCGTATGAAGGACACGATGGGTGTCTCTGCTTGATAAATGAATTTGTTTTTGTAACTGTTAGTTCTGGCCTGCTTTCCTGGCTTCTCAGCCTCTTTCCAGCTCTTCTTTATCTGGCTGAGGGACCAGAGGGGAAACTCTATCTTTGAAGTGCATGGGTTTGGTACCAGGAGAGGTAGTGCAAATTGGCAGAAAGCAAGCTTTGTTGAAATGTACTGTCTCATGAAATCATCAGCACAATGAAAAATTGCCATCTGGAGGTCCATGGGGTGCACACAACGGTCTTTGGTTGCAGATTCAGGGGCTTCTTCCTCCAAATCAGTGAAAAAGTCATCAAAGGAATCTGAGGGTTCATGCTCTTGCTCTGTGGGTTTTGGCATAGATGCGAGTTGTGGGTTGCTCTCATCCCTGCAAGTCAGGTACCTCACCCGATAATCCACTGTTAATAGCTTTTGCAGGAAGTAAAATGGTAATTCACTGTCGTTGCTAGGGTGGCTGTCATGTAAAGATTTCTTGTATATGATATGGAAGTCTTCTGTCCCCATCTTCCTTGGATAGTGATTTTCCAGTCCAAGGCGCTTAAGTAAGTGGAGGAATTCTTGATTTCTAGTGGCTTGATTTGCTTCAGTTTCACTGCTGTCTGATTTGGATTTGGATTGACTGGAAGGCTCTGTGCTTTGAAAAGTGTCTTTCATGTCTCTGATTATACTGTCTTTCTTCAGATCGTCACATGTGTCCTCCAAGCACCCACTGATGAGGGAATCCAAGTCCTTTTCCAGCATCTCCCAGTCTTTGAGTGCACGGTGCTTTTCAAAGAGAGTTTTTACCTCTGTGGACCATAAGTTTTTCATATGATCTTCCATGAACGTTAAACGCTCATTCTTCTGCTCAGGTGACACCTCTTTATATTCAGGTGTTACCTTTAGACCCAGCAGCAGCAGGAAAGCCTGAGCTCTGTAAACATCTTGTTCCTTCAGAGTCAGATACTCCTTATGTCCCTCTTGCATTTCATTTATCATGAAGTTAATTTCTGGACATCCAAGGAGGTACTGAAAATTGTTCCCTTCCATCTGGTATCCTGTGCTGGTCATAATTAGAAGTACTAACAGTTCTATGTCTTTCTGTGCCCTTCTCTGGAGAACCTGGAGTAAGGAATAAACAGTTGAGCTTATAGTCAACGTGGCTTTCACCTTTGCTTCATGAATGGCAGATGCTGCAGTTTCTGGTGCATAGGTGACTTCCTGGATGTACTCCTTCATTTGCAGCAGTGTCTCGGTGAGATCTTCAAGCTCAGAAGCACTGGGAGTTTCAGGAAGCATGGGGTTACTATCAAAGATCCATTGCATAATGAAGGAAGACCTGGGGAAGTCCTTGACAGAATAGACATAAGGATCCAGGAGGCACTTCAACAGAGACTTGATACACATGGTGTTTTCTGGAGGTGACTTCCTGAAAAACAGAACAGTATTCACAAGGAACTCCTGCAGTCCTTTTTCTGACAGGCATATGTCAATCCAGACATTATGGGTTTTGGTTTTTTCATACAGATTATGTTTGAATGTTAGGAGCGTGGACAGTCTCTCTTCATCTACTGTCACCTCCCAGGCCTTCACACACTCCATGAAAGCTCTGGCCTCTTCCACTGCACTGACCAGTTCCTCTCCAAACATGATGCTGACACTGTGATTCGTTAACGCTTCATATGCAGCCCTGAGGCTGCTGCTCATTTGATAGCTGGACTTAAAATCACTTCTGTGATTGAACAGGATTATATCCCACACTGGGATCAATTGAAAGCCTCGGTCAATAACACACCAGCTCGTGTTATTAGTTACAAGCCCCAATTTCCACTGAGGAAGAAAATTTGTCTCTGGTGGGCCCCCTGTGTTGGTCACCTCGTGCTGAACTCCTGTGTGGGCTCTCTTTCCATCTCTTCCCTGAGAAGAAGCATGTGAGCTGTATTTTGAACCTTCCACATCCACTCCCATGCTGACACCGAAGCCGCTGTAGGTGGCATTTACATAGCCATCCAGTGATTCAGATACTTGTTGCTTCATCTCTTCCCGCTGCTCAGCTCTGAATCCTGCTACAGATGCCTTCCACCGGAATATCCCCCCAAAGTGGAGGGGACCCTGGTTTACGTGGGACCCAAATGTGCTGAAGAACCTCTTACACCTGCTATTCAGCACGTTGGACCTGTCTTCTTCCGGAATGCTGCTCAAAAGATACTCGATGTCTTTCAGCTCCTGCAGGGCCCCATCTGTTAGGTGAAGCTGATGCTTTTGAAAGTAGCAGGAGGCCAGAGGGATGTAGTGGTACTTGGTAGTGCAAATGTAGCTCTGCTCAGAGTGGGACTGGTGGGTCTCCATCGACTGCGAAGAGCTGCTGTGATCTATGTCAGTGCCAACATTAAACCCCCAGAACCCAGCTTTGGCAGAAACGGTGATGCTGAACCCCAGCTTCTCCATGGACTTGGTGAAAGCAGCTTCTGCTGCAGAGGAGGAGAACTCCTTCCTCTCAAACAGAGACCCTTGCTCTGGACCAACAAGCCTGAATCCATCGGGAACCTGGATGAGCTGGTCTCTCTTTGCCAGCACATCCTCAAAGCTGCTGGTTTTGTAGATGCCCTGCAGGGCCAGTCCCCCTGACGCCCGCCTCAGGACCTCCGTGTCAGAGACAATTTCAGCCTTGCTCACTATCAACTCCTGCTGCTCCAGCTGCTTCTGGATGTTCTCCAGCAAACTCACCAGTGACTTCTCTGGTGGTGGCCAGTACTCTTTGGGAATCTCAATGGCTTGCCACAGAGCCTCCTCTTTCTCTCTTATAGCATCCTTGCTGTGGCTGTGGCTTTTGTGCATTTCTTTCAGCTCCTTCATGAGTAGTTTGGCTGCTTCTTGTCTCTGTTTTGCTCTCTCCAATCGCTTCTTCTGCACCTCCTCAAAAGTCTTTTCTGCATTTTCTTTGCTGACTGTTACTCCCAGGAGCTTTTGGAGAGCCCTTTTTTCCCAGGGGTACCTTACTTTAGGCTCCAGCTTAAGGTAGTCTTCATATTGCATATGTTTCAGGGCTTCTTTGGACTTGACTCCCAGTATTCCTGACAGATGGGGAAGCCAGTGTTTATCATCCAGTCCTTCTTTCTCACATGCTTCTGCCAGTAGATTTTTTTCAAGATTTGCCTTTTCATCTTCCTTTAGTGTGTCCCCCTGTGAGCCCATGGCTGTGGAAGAACAAAACAGTCTCTTTTTAAGGTGTGTTGTCAGAGGCCCCAGCCTCCTATAAGAGGATATGGGATCTGATTCATCTCACCTCAAGCAGATATTCTCTTTGGTCAGACACTTGACTTTGCAGAGGACACAGAGAGCCAAGCTCCCCAGCTCAGCTGAGACAGAACACTATCACACAGCAGGCCTGCTAGGCAAGGCTGGGGTTTAAGAAGAAGAAGGGAACCACCTCAAGAATTCAGGAGGAAAAACACTGGGAAGGAAAGACTAAAATGCTAAAGGAGAAAACCAGAGAGTCAGGAGATGGCAACCCATCAATGCAGAGGACTCATTCCAGGAAGCAGTGGAGGCATCCCCCTTTGCTGGTAATGACAGCGCAGCCAGCAAAGACACATCAGGGCCTTTTTGGGGTGGTGACCACACTGGTGTTTCAACTGGGACATAAATCAACATACCCATGGTGTACATTAGCCCAGGGAGAGTTTGCAAAGTAAATATCTCCTGCTTTAAGACCCTCTTCTGCATACAGCACAAGGTGGCTCAGGATAGGACTCTAAAGGCTGCATACCATAACGACATCACAGGAAGGAAAAGCAAGCCTATCCATGATTCATGTAATCATGGAATGGTTTGGGTAGGAAAGGACCTTAAAGCTCATCCAGTTCCAACCTCCCTGCTGTGGGCAGGGACACCTTCCACTAGACCAGATTGCACCAATCCCCGTCCAGCCTGGCCTTGAACACTACCAGGGATGGGGCAGCCACAGCTTCTCTGGACAACCTGTGCCAGGGCCTCACCACCCTCACAGGGAAGAACTTTTTCCAATATCTCATCTCAATCTCCCCTCTGTCAGTTTAAATCCATTCCCCCTTGTCCTGTCCCTACAGGCCCTTGTCAAAAGCCCCTCTCCAGCTTTCTTGGCAGCCCTCTTAGGCACCAGAAGCTGCTCTAAAGTCTGTGGAGCCTTCTCTTCTCCAGGCTGAACAAGCCCAGCTCTCTCAGCCTGTCTCCATAGCAGAGGTGCTCCAGCCCTTGGAGCATCTTCGTGGCCTCCTCTGGACTCACTCCAACAGCTCCATGTGCTTCTTATACTGGAGCCCTAGAGCTGGATGCAGGGCTGCAGGGGTGTCTCACCAGAGCAGAGCAGAGGAGAATCCCCTCCCTCGACCTGCTGGTCACACTGCTGGTGATGCAGCCCAAGGACACAGTTGGTTTCTGGGCTCAAGCGCACACTGCTGGGTCATGGGGAGCTTCTCATTGACCAACACCCCCAAGTCCTCCTCAGGGCTGCTCTCAATCCAGTCTCTGCCCAGCCTGTGTTTGTGCCTAGGATTGTCCCAGCCCAGGTACAGGACTCACACCTGATTTCTGGAGAGGAGAATCATAGCCTCATAGGATCAACTAGGTTGGAAAACACCTTTAAGATCATCAAGTCCAACCATTACCCCCAGACTGCCAAGACCACCACTAAAGCATATCGCTGAGGGCTCCATCTACACGCTTTTTGGACATGGGTTTTGATTTTTCTTTTTTTTGCTGAGTGACGGTGACCTCACCCTTTCCCTGGCAGTCTGTTCCAATGCCTCCATTGACCACCCTCTCTGAAGAAATTGTTCCTAATATTCAATCTAAACTTCCCATGGCACAGTTTGAGGCTGTTTCCTCTTGTCCTGTCACTTGTTATTTGGGAGAGGTGGTCTACCCCCACCTCACTACAACCTCCTTTCAGGCAGTTGTAGAGAACAATAAGGTGCCCCTTGAGCTTTCTCTTCTCCAGACTAAACACCCCCAGTTCCCTCAGTCATTCCACATCACAGTTCCAGATCCTTCACCAGCTCCATTGCTCTTCTCTGGACCTGCTCCAGCACCTCAATGTCTTTCTTGCAGTGAGGGGCCCAGCACTGAACACAGATTTACAGGTGCGGCCTCACCAGTGCTGAATACAGGGGGATGATCACTGCCCTGGCCCTGCTGCCACCCTATTGCTGATACAGGCCAGGATGCTGTTGACCTTCTTGGCTACCTGGGCACAAGCTGCTCATTTTCAGCAGTTGCCAGTGAGCACCCTCGGGTTCTTTCCTGCCAAGCAGCTTTCCAGGCACTCTTTCCCAAGCCTGTAGTGTTCCATGGGGTTGTTGTGGCCCAAATACAGGACCCAGCACTTTGCCTTGATGAACCTGAAGATGGCTGGTTAAAGACTGGGGCAAAGGCAGCATTAAATACCTCAGCCTTTTCCTCATCTTCAGTCTCCAGTAGAGGGTGGAGGTTTTCCTTGGCCCTCCTTTTATTGTTAGTATATTTCAGAAAGTACTTTTGATTATTTTTCATGGCAGTGGCCATATTTTTGCCCCAACTTTGACTGCTGAGCCCAGTGCTGTGCGGCTCAGTCCACTCAGGCCACATACCCCGGTTCTATCCCCTCCCAGCTTCATGCTTGTTGCCCCATTACCAATGCTATTTTAGTCTCAGATGCCCAAAACAGCATTGCAGAGCTACGATAGCAGACATTAACTCCAGCCCATCTTGACCCTCAACTAGCACATGAACACACTTTGAATAATCAAATCCTAGAATGGTTTGGGTTGGAAGGGACCTTAAAGTGCATCCAGTTTCCAACTCCCCTGCCACAGGCAGGGACACTTCCACTAGACCAGGTTGCTCAAAGCCCCATCCAACCTAGCCCTGAACACTTAACCTGGCTTTGAAGTCCCAGCATGGCTTCATACTTCTTCAAGAGAAAGGTAAAGGGCACATGCTTTTGTGTTAGTGCAGAAAGAGGACTATTAAGTGTATTTCTGGAATAACTTGGGATTGCTTTCTTCCTTGCAAGCAAAGAAGGGAAGCAGTAAGGCTGGCAGCATGACCTACAGCAGGACTGCCTGCATTCTGCTTCATGGGAACAGCCCCCTCAAGAGTGTTTTCCCCATCCCTGCCCCAGGGGAGCCGGGCTCTGGAAGAGCTTGTGCCTTTGAGAGGCTGTGCCAGGGACCAGAGCACTTTGAGTGGTGAAGTTTAGACTGTAAGAGGGGCTGGGAGAGGTGAATCCCACCATCACTCCATGGGGGGGGAAGGAAAAATTCTCCCCCTAGCCTTGGGAGCAGGGCAGGATGTTCCACAGCTGCTCCTCGTTAGTTATCCCAGTGCTGCCGCACTCCCTAATGAGCGGGGCAGGAGGCAGGCACCACTGCCCAAGCTGCCCACACCCCAGCACCCATTGCTTCTGCACCCCTGTTAGAGCTGACAGAGTGCATGCCACCGAAAAGGTTATCATCAGCAGCGATGTTCCTCAAACTACCCGTTTCACCTTCCTAGGCTATAGGAGCGCTCGCAGGGCTGCCTTCCACCTCTCCTCTGGCCCCGACGCGTCCCAGCCCAGCCCCTTGTCTCCAGAGCAGAGAAGCAAATGTCAGCAGGATGGAGGTGCCTGCCCCGTTCCGCAGCCGCCCCGGCTCCGGTTCCGGCTCCGGCCCCGGCACGCTGTGCTCGGGGCGAGCGCACCCATCCTGGCCCATCGTGGCACTGGGTCGTGTCCGGGGTGCGCAGGATCAGCGCTGGCTGCCCGAGCGTTTCCCAGCTCGCAGCAGGAAAGGAGCTCTGCAAGGGGTCTGACCCCAGAGGAGGTAGCATGTCCCTCTCCATCCAGCCCTGCAGTCAGTTCCTGAAGCCAGGCTTTGCTTCCTGCGGGCATCACTCTACCCCTGAATAGCCCCGGACCACTCTTCCTTCCCTACGGGCTCCTGCACTGACCGCCCCGCCTCCTCCCTACCCTCCCAGTTCAACCCCTGCAGCCCACACAGGTCCCCAGTTTCTTCAAACAAGCCATCAAGCAAAAGCTGTTTCCTGCATCCCAGTCTTAGAGCAGGGACCATTCACCCTAAACCCCCGTTTCCCCTTCCCTGGCATCTCTCAGGAAATGGTAAAACCCATGAAATATGAAGCACAAGACAGACAAGAGCCCTACTTTATGCTGATCCCTCACCACCCCTCACCCCACCACCCCTCCCCAAAGCTTAACCATCAAGGTCCTACCATCTGCCTCCGATGCTCAGCAGCTCCCAGGCTGGAGTCAGCCTAACCAAGGGTCCTCCTTTTATACAGCCCGAATTTATCACATGCTTTCCTTCTTTTTGATCATGGAGGTAGCAAGAAGCATCCCAGTTTACTGGAAATCAGGCCATTTTCACTAAAGTGCAAAAGTGAAACTTGGCAGCTGCTACCGCGGATGGAGCTGAGCAAAACAGGATGGGTGGAGGGTGGGGTGAGAGTGGTCCAAAGGAGAAGAACATGAGCAATTTGACTCTAGAGCAGCTTCCAGTGCTTAAAAGGGGCTACAAGAAATCTGGAGAGGGGCTTTTGACAAGGGCCTGTAGGGACAGAACAAGGGGGAATGGCTTTAACCTGACAGAGGGGAGATTGAGATGAGCTCTTAGGCAGAAGTTCTTCCCTGTGAGGGTGGTGAGGCCCTGGCACAGGTTGCCCAGAGAAGCTGTGGCTGCCCCATCCCTGGCAGTGTTCAAGGCCAGGTTGGACGGGGCTTGGCCCAACCTGGTCTAGTGGAAGGTGTCCCTGCCCATGGCAGGGGTTGGAACTGGATGAGCTTTTAGATGAGCTTCCAACCCAAATCATTCCAAGATCCCAACTAGCCAGCATCCTCTCCACTCCATGTGTTTTGTGCTGGTTTTGCACCTCAGCCATTAGGGGCACCCAAAGGTCTCCCACCGGTGAGGTCAGGCCCTGGTGGCAGCCTGTGCTTTTCTGTATCCCTCCAGCTGCCCGGTGGGATATGCTCCAGCCCCACTGACACTGGTCCAGGAGCACTGGAAGCCCCCCATGGCTGGTTCCTGCAGGAAGACCTGCCAAAGCAGCACCTCTTGGCATCATCTTCAAGAGAGGTTTGGAGGATAAAGTCTTCACCTAGGAAGAGAGAAGTGAGGCTTTTTGTATGAAAAGACATGAGCCTGAACCAATTCAGTTTTGTGGGCTGGCTGAGCCCTTTCCTGGAAGGGATTTTATTTCTGGGAAACAGAATGCTCATTTCAAAAGCCAGGGTGAAAAACAAAGTAAACTTTAATCTGCCCAGGGTCTGCACTAAGATAAGCAGAGACCAGACTGTGCCCTGTCCTTAGGCTCAACCAGGGCTGCTCGCTTAGCTCCCACCACATTTTCCAGCACAGGAAGCAGTACCTGGATAGTGCCAGTACCAGGATCCAGGGTGCTAGACCGCAGGGGTCCACAGGATGCAGCCAGACCTTTGGACACATGAGACTTCAGAGACCACAGCAGAGTAGTGTGGGAGGAAGGAGTGCTTGCCCCCCTCTTCTTCCCTGGAGAATCAGGTCCTGGGGATGGATCCTGCCCTGCAGCTCACAGCTGGCCCTTTGCACCAGTGCAGAAGTTTAGGGCCAGGAAAATACCAGGGCAGAGGAGGCTGCAGACTCCCTGTCCTGGGCTGTGGCAGGGTGGGTTTGGGCTTTCAGCCCTTTTCTAGGTCCTCAGAGTGGGGACCCCTCTGTACTTACCAGAACAGTGTTTATTGAGACCAGTTGTGTGCTGGGCTCTGCTGCCCTCCTCCTGCCAGCCCCAGGGCACCGAGGAGACAGGTTTCCCCTACGCAGCAACCTGGGAACTTGTCCCTCTGTGCTCTATGCCACAGACAAACAGACAGACTGGAGGGTCACTCCTGGGGCTGGGCTGCCTCATGGGTGCAGCAGGATCCGGGCGGCACTGGTAAGGTGCCCCCAGTGTGCCAAAGCCGGTAGGACCCCACAGGAGCCGGCAGCCACCCTTCAACTTGTGCCACCCGGGGCCGGGTGGCCACCTCTTCCAGCTTAGCTTTGGGCTTCTTCAGGGGGGACACAGTCACCTCAAGGCTCCCTCTAGCATCGCTCCTGCATCAAGTGCTCAGTCCCACTTGCTGCTTTGTCCTCCCATGGCATCACCTCTCCTCCTGCAGTCTCCAGGACATCCGCTGTGACACTGTCTTCACTCTGAGGAGGGGTGACAATGACCACCATCCACCCAGGGAACCAGTGACCCCCCCCCCCCAACCCACATCCGGAGTGGGGATGCTCACGGCCAACGATGCTCAGCAGCTCCTCGACCTCCTCCTGCAGCCGCAGTTGCAGCAGCTCCCGCAGCAGCTCCCGGCGCCGGCTCCGCGGGGTCACCCCCATGCGCCGCAGGGTCCCCTCCGTCAGCCGCAGCAGGACCCGGCCCGAGACCTCGTGCTCATGTGCCAGCTCCACCAGCTCCCCGGCCCCGCTGCGTGCAGCCAGCCAGGCACCAGCCTCCGCCACCGTCCACTGCGCCACGGGGCGCTGCTGCTCCTCCGAGTCCTGCAGCGGGAGGACAGGGTGAGCTGGGATGGTCCCTCGTCCTCTGGCCTCTCCCCCATGGGGACTACACCAGGCTGTTCCAAGCCCCGTCCAACCTGGCCTTGAACACTGCCAGGGATGGGGCAGCCACAGCTTCTCTGGGCAACCTGTGCTAGGGCCTCACCACCCTCATAGGAAAGAACTTCTGCATAAGAGCTCATCTCAATCTCCCCTCTGCCAGTTTAAGGTCATTTTCCTTTGTCCTGTCCCTACAGGCCCTTGTCAAAATCTTAATGTGTCCATACCACAGTCCCCTCTACCCACTCTGAACGTGACCCTCAAGTCCCATCCCCACACTGATGCTGATGGCTGCACCCACATCCCCATCCTCCACTCATGGGGATCCCCCATCCTCCACTGTGGGGGTACCCCAGCCCCCAGCCACAGGTATCTTTGGGGTGTCTCCTGCCCCCCCAAGCCCCTGCCCATGCTCACCTCAGCCATCGGGCACCTCTCCAGTGATGCCTCAGCCCCATCCTGCACCCCAGTGTCCATGCAGGGTAGCAGGCAGAGCACAGGGGCAGCTCAGGCTCCCTGCAAACAGGGCTTCATCAGACAGGATGCCTGTGACTTGCCTCCCAAATCCTGCCAGCCAAATACCCCCCAGGTGCCCCACCATGGCAAAGCACCCTATCCCATGGTCCCTGTCCACCACTGCAGGTGGGGCAGCATCCACCAGGGGCATGCAGGTGAGGGTGACCATCCTCTTCCATGCCACCTGCTCCATGCCCCACAGCAGAATAAGGCTGCTCATCCAGGTTCCAGTGAGGGACCATGGCAAATCCCCACAGCCCATCCCAACACATGGGCATGCAGAGCCCGGCACACCCAGGAGGTGAGATCGGCCCTGGCTTGCCCATTTCACTCACACTGTGAGCCCAAGGGGGACACACCAGCAAGGCACAGCTTCCCCAGGCCAGCCAGAGCCCCTTCCTCTTCCTCACCCCTTCCTCCTTACCACCCTCCACCTTGCACCTCCACCCCAGGTCAGTGCCAAACACACGGAGAGCGAAAGAAACCTTTGCCCTGGCCCTGTTTCAGCAGGCACAGCCCTATGCATGCCCCAGCAGCCCAGCTCTGCCTGGCATGCAGCACTCCTGGGCTGCGAGGGGTACCCCAACACAGGGAACAGAGCCCCAGACCCCCACCTGGTTGGAGAAGAGCAGAGCTGGGCTCCATCTGTACCAAGGGCCAGAGAAGGAGCTCTGTAAAGGTGCTCTCCATGTCCCCTCCCCCAGTTCTCTGCAGCCAACCCCCCCGTTTGCCCCAGCACCTTCTCAGCACAGAGAGGATGGACGCACCAGAGCGGCTTCACCTATGATGAGGATGGTGGCAGCAGCAGCGAGGGTCCTGGTGCATGGTGAGGTGGCAGGAGAGACACTGAGAGAGCAGGCAGAGGAGCAGGATGAGCCTCCAGGATGAGTCACAGCCTGAAGGCCAACAGCCCTGCCCTGCTGAACATGCAGGAACCCAGGCACCGCCTGCGACAGGCCACAGCACAGCCCCGGAGGTGGATTAAATCCTCCAAGAGAACCATGGAAATGAGCCACTCTGGAACAGGCAACATCCAAATGGGGCCACAGCGCTGCTTGGGCTGCCCCAGGACACAGCAAGTCGCATTCACCTGAGCCCTGGAAACATTTCACACTATCAGCTCACCTCCCAGCCCGAACAGCACACAAGCTTTGGCTCCCTGAAGCAATCCCATCCACAGCTCTTCCCCAGCACAGCCATAGCAGTCCCCCTGAACTGGTAGTAGGGCAGTCACCCCTCATGCACTCACTGCTGCAGATAGGCTGGTGTCCACATCAGCAAAGCAAGCAGCTACATGGGGTTATGTTATCTTGAAAGACACACACAGAAGGGAACAGGCCCCTTCGCCCTTCAACCAGGCAGTTCCTGATTGCCTCCTTTACCCACCATCCATGCAGCTCCCACTTGCTCCCACAGCCACAGGATTCCCACTGCAGCATGATTTCCAAACAGAAGAAGCCAGAACCACCCACTGTTACACTTATCCCTTATCTCAGGTGTGCCACCCCCACTGCTGAATCTCAACCATGTCAGATGCTGGCAGGGTGAGATCAAGGTGCCATGAGAAGGAAGTCACCAAAACACCCTCAAAAGTGTCTCTTCTTATGATTCACTGGGCCAGAGTTCAGAGCCGCCACCTCCCATTTCAGAAAGGGGTCCCTCAGAGCACATCTCCCACAGAAACCATCCCCAACCTGTGTCAGGTGAGGGAAGGAAGTTAAAAAGGCAGACTATTTTATTTCCTGATTTATTGTGGTTAACATCAGCAACACTCATTTGTTCAGAAGTGATTTGCTAATTCCAATGCTGTCCAGACATCGCGCAGCAAACCTCCTCCTTCAAAACCAGGTCAGCCAACTCAGCCTGAACCCATTCCTGAAAGCAGTTGTTACTCCCCACATTAATTCCACCTAAGCCCACCGACCTCCAGTACCTTCCATTCTCCTTATTCCCAAATTTAATTCTCCATACATGGCTTTGGAATCATCCCTCTTCTCCACAGGGGGAGAAATCCTGCTTACTGAAGAGTTGCATTAGGAATCACAGAGGTTACAATGAGCCACAAGAGGCTAAAAGCTACCTTAACCTTTACTCTCCTGGAAGTGGAATATTTCTTAGAGTGCATTCATTAGTTGAAAATTACCAGCTGAGTAGCTAGAAGGGATTTATTTATAAAGGCCACCAAAAACCCTTTCTGAGAAGGATTGTAGGATGTTTTATTAGTGCATTGAAATGGCATTGCCAGGCACAGGATGGATGAATACCCACTCAGCAGCCCCTCGTCCCACTACTGAGGGTAAAGCTCCACTAACATCGCGTGGCCCTGGAAGGAGAAAGAAAGAGAGGGAATGGTCACAGAAAAGACTAACCATCACAGACATGCTTGTGATGCGAGATACCATCTCCCAAACACCTTAACATAAAAGGGGAGATGAAAATCCAGCACTGGCTCACTGAGAGGATTCTGCCAACAGCAGTTTGATGGCTTTGGGACAGCACAGCTGCTCCAGGCTGGGTAAGGAACTGGAGTACCTCCCAGCCAATGCCTCAGGCTGTCCCAAGGGCCAGGCTAGGAACACCAGCACCCTCGGGATACAGAGAACCAGCCACGCCAGGTCCCTTTGAAAGTGCCACCAGTCACTGCAGCCTGCACCAGGTTCCCATCCAAAGGCCAGGAAGCTGCTGGTAGAGTCTCAACCCCCTTTTTTCTAGTTAAGTTCTTTCTTCCCAAGGTGAGAAGAATGACACTCACAAACCCCAACTGATGATTCTGAGCTGGGCTGGAGAGTCTCTAAAGAGGAATGAGGCAGAGGGTGCCCACTGAACAGAGCCAGAGGGTGTCAGGGACACCCAGAGCCACCTGGTGTGCCAAGACAGGATTTCACAGCACCACCAGGATCAGAAATGTGGCTAGCTCTCCAGAGGGAACAGTGCCTGACCCCAAAGCATCATTACCTGCCCTCCCGCTGCACAGGCAGCAACCAGACCGTACTGTCCTCCCTCCTTCTTCAACCTGTGAGCAGCAGTAATGACCAGCCGGCAGCCAGTGGCAGCGAAAGGATGGCCCAGTGAGAGGGAACCACCCCAGGTATTGAACTTCTCCAGAGGAGGGGCTCCAACCTGTGAGGACACAGAGGGACACACACCATCACCTGCCTGCATGGAGGCTGCCTGACCTGCTCCTAACACCACCAAACCTCCGACAGCCCAGGCTGCCCTACAAAGTGTCTGTTGCCACGTACAAGTGCCTGAAGACAGGACAAAGCTGTGCTAAAGGCTTTGCCACCTCACCTGCGGCCAGGCAGGGACACTCCAGACTCTCAGAAAGCATGCAGGAGGACTGGCCCCCTCCCACTGTCTTTAATTCCCATCTCCAATAATTTCTATTATGACTTTAGACCTCCACCTCCTGCTGACAATGGGAATGCCATGACTCCCAGAGAAACTGCTCACATCAGGATTTGTTAACTCAGAGGGGACACAACAAAAGCTGTGCTTTGCAGCACCAAACACCCTGCTGCACAAAGGGACTCAATAAATCCTCAAGTTGAACTAAACTGCAGATAGAAGTGTCCCAACTGCGTCTTACCTTCGACTTCCTGCCCATGTAGTTTTGTGCAAACCAGTCTGAATCCATAGCCTTCAGGTTAGCCAGGATCTGCCCCTGAAAGAGAGGGAGTGTGATAGTAACAAGAATGGACAGGCTCTGAAGAAAACCTATGGACAGCGCTACCAAGCGCAAGATATCCCAGGACTTGCTACAACCACTAAACTAACACAGCCAAATACAGGCTCAGCCTGCTATGTCAGCTCAACCTTCACTGGAGAAAGATGCCATCCAGTAAATGAGCCACCTCACCATGATAACACAGATTCCCAATCCAATTAGCAGGTGATATGGTTTCTTTCATCCAAGGGTCCTGGGGAAGTACAACTATTTTTGTTTATATATTATTTTAGAAGAATCTATACTCCTTTGGTGACTTCAAACAACAAAAGCCACTCCTAGCATGGATTGTGTCCACATAAAATGTTATATATTTAAAATATATACAGTACTTCAGACATGAATGCAGAGTTACACCTATGTATGTTTAGTGACGGTCTTATCAAGAGCTTTCACCAACACGAAAGCAGACGCCTACAGAACAGCTTTTTACAGCTGGAGGTATCCTTAGTGCTCTGGCTGTACCAGCTGTACTGTCGTGGTTTAAAAGCCCATCTGGTAACTCAGAACCATGCAGCCACTCACTCACCCCTCTCCTCCTTCCTCTCCCTGCTCCCAGAGGGATGGGGAGGAGAATCGAAAGAATGTAACTCCCATGGGCTGAGGTAAGAGCAGTCCAGTAACTAAGGTATAACACAAACCACTGCTGCTGCCACCAATGGTAACAATGGTAAGGGAAATAACAAGGGAAGAGAATACAACTGCTCAGCACCCGCCGACCGGTACCCAGCCCAACAGAAGCAGTGATCGGATGGGTAGTGCTCTAGGCTCGGTACTTACAGCAAAAGCTTCATGGAATTCAAACACATCGATATCAGCCATGGTCAGACCCGCCTTCTCCAGCACTTTGGGAGTAGCGTAGGTTGGACTGAAGAGGAGTTAAGAAACAGAAGTCTTACATGAATACGTTTCATCACATCATCGCCCCCTTTTTCCACAGCAACCCACGTTACACTCCCTAGGCCCATGGTACAACTCTCTGCTTGTCTAACCAAAACACAACCCCAGGTAACCACTGCTAGTAACACCTCACTGAGATGGCTCCCAGCACACCAGGGTGGGTATGTCTGCCACAGCTGCTCTCCCACATTCGCTACCTCCCCTCCCACGTCACACCTAGCACACCAGCTCTGGCACCTCTGCGAGAGAGCCTGAAGATTAACATCTCATGAGACACTTCACAAAGAAATGACATGTAATGACGAGTCAAGGCTGCTGGGCTAGTACAGACTGTTAGGGCTTTTGAGCATCAGTACCTACCCCAGTAGCAGTTGGTCCTTTGGATCTTGGGACACGTACACAAAGTCCCTACACAGGAGAAATGCTATTAGTAACAGAAAGAGGAGACAGAAGCGAGAGCAGACGTCAGAGGCCATGCAGAGCACGCCTTTTTTTACCTTAGGTAGGCCTTCGGTTTGTAGCCCAGCGCCAGAGCCTTCTCCTCAGACATAAGCAGAATTGCTGAAGCACCATCCGTCTGAAAGAGGCAGACAAGAGTGAGATCTCTGCCTGAAGAACAAGCACACTCTGCGCCCAAAGGGAGCCTGACAGCCCTCCTGCAGAGCAGCTGGCAGGACAGGACCTAATGTTACCAGGGCTTCCAGGACACCCCCCTACGTCTGCATAACTGAGCTGATAGACGGGTGTGTGGATGGAACATGACATTGCTGAAGCACTTCCTTACAGTTAAAACCCACACAGAGGTGCCTAGAAGCCCTTGCCAGTCTTATGCACAGGCTGGTTACCCCACCCACCCGTCCACCTGGCTCCATCCCAAACCCAGAGTGTAATTCCGGGGTGACACAAGCCACAGGCTCACCACGTTGCAAAAATGAACATCACAGCTTTGGCACACAGTGGCCAAATTAATTTCTGGGATAACAACCTCAGCAGCCTACAGACTGGCAGCAAGAGCACACCAACAGCATTTCAGCTGTTCCTACACCAAGGCTGCAGCCTCACTAGGCTTATGCAAGTCCCCAGAACCACTAAGGAGCAAATAGCATTGCTGCTGAAAGGGCCCCAGCAGTAGATACTTTCTTCTTTTTAAGTGTTGATCAGAAACTGTGAAACAGCCTTTTAAACACATAGAAATCTGACAGGGCTGCATGCAGGAACAACATAGTCACCTCAAGACCTCAGCTAGAGACCTCCAGTGGCAACCACCTTCTGCCGAGTCTCAGGAACTGGGGCTCAGAAACACCTCACCTGTCTATCACAACTACCTTAGACTTCAGCATCTAAAAAAACCTTCCTTTAAAAATGCTAAGGACAGAAGAAGAAGCATATGTGGAAGAGAGTTCATCATAATGGAGAAGGATCTGGGGAGACCTCAGAGCAGCTTCCAGTGCCTAAACTGGCTGACAAGAAACATGGAGGGGGACTTTTTATAAAAACCTGTAAGGACAGGACAAGGGGGAATGGCTTTAAACTGACACAGGGGAGGTTTAGATGAGATCTTAGGCAGAAGTTCTTCCCTGTGAGGGTAGTGAGGCCCTGGCACAGGTTGCCCAAAGAAGCTGTGGCTGCCCCATCCCTGGCAGTGTTCAAGGCCAGGCTGGACAGGGCTTGGAGCAACCTGGTCTAGTGGAAGGTGTCCCTGACTGTGCCAGGGGGTTGGAACTGGATGAGCTTTAAGGTCCTTTCCAACTCAAATCACTCTATGATTAAAAACAAACAAAAAAAAAAAACACAAACAACCCAAC